ATTAAACACAAAACAGCCCTTGCTGGTGCTGCTCAGTGGACTGAGCCCCAGCCTGCGAACTGGAAGGTCGCTGGTTCGATTCCCAGTCAGGGCGCAGGCCTGGGCTGCGTCCGGGTCCCTGGTTGGGGGCGTGTGAGAGGCAACCAGTCAGTGTCTCTCCTTCTCTTTTCCCCTCCTTTCCCCTCTCTCTAAAAATGACTAAATAAAATCTTTTAAAAAATACTATTAAACACAAAATGAAAACAGGTGCATTCGTATAGGGACAGTGAGAGCTGTGTGCCGGGGTGCAGTCGCCTCCAGCCCCTGAAAGTGGCGCTGCCGCTCCAGCCGCTCCAGCCTCCCCCGAGCCCAGTCGGCTCCCCGACGGCAGCCTCCGCTCCCGGACGCCACTCTTCGTGGGGGTGGGGGAGCATCGATGGGCTCCTGTCTGTGCCCCCGCGGAGGACTGCGCCTGCACCTAGGCCTGTGGCCTGAGCGGGAGTCCACACGGGACCCTTCGGTCCGCGGGGCGACCCCAGGGCAGCGCCGTCAGGAGCTGAAGCACGTGCGGCGCTGGTCGGGCGCGGGCCGGCGCTGCGTGGAGGCTGCTTTGCGTTTCCAGGCCGCATCAGGCTGTCACCGCGCAACCGGAACCGAGGCCCCCCCCCCCCCCCGGCCTCCTTGACGGCTGCTGTGTGTTTTTGCCTGGCCGATGACTATGTAAAAGTAAAACATAGTGCGTTTAAATTACCTTAAACACGTACGCTCGTTTACAGTTCACGAGCGTCACTTCACACAGAGCCGCCGCGGGGCGATGAAGGCCGGCGCTCCGGTTTCTGACGCTGGGTAGGCTCTGCGTGGGCGGCGGCAGCCGCAGGCCGTGGAGCCCCGGCTCCTGGGTCACCCATGGGGACCCAGGAGGCGGGGCGAAGGTCTCCCGGACGCCTCTGGGACTGAGGCTCGCCGGGCGGCAGTAGGGACTCAGGCAGGGAGACTGGCGGGAGGGACCCCAGACATCTGGCCCGGGCCCCATGGTGGAGAGAGGGGGTCGGGTGTCGGGGGCGCAGCGTGGCTTCGCTGTGGGGAGGAGGAGGGCGGGGCCTGAGCTGGCGCGGCGCGGCGTGGCCTGTGGACCAGAGGTGCGCCTCCTCAGTCACAGCAGGCCGGCCACTCGTGTTGGATGTCAGGGTCGCAGGTCCTAGGAGGGTGGTGACTGTGATGCAGGTCACTTCTTCTCTTTCATTTGAGAAAGAGAGAGGCATCGACTTGTCGTTCCACTCGTCGGTGCGTCCTTGGTGGGTCCGTGTCTGCACCCGGACGAGGGCGCAGACCTGCAGCCTCGGTGCATCAGGCTGGCGCCTCGACCGAGGGAGCTCCCGGCCGATCGGGGCGAGTGCTTTCCCGCCCGGGTTCACCCTGGGACTGGCAGCTGTGCTGGGGGCTTGCCGGCGGCTGGGAAAGGGCCCGGGGCTGTGGGCGGGGCTGCAGGAATGAGCCTTGGGGTGGGGGGCGGGGGGCGGGGTCCTGGGGCCGGGTTGCGAGGCCCAGCAGGTGGTTTCCACAGCCTGCACTGTCCCGGAAGGGAACAAATGCACCTGTGCAAAGGGGTCCGCGGGCATGGAACCCCGGAGTGTGAAGCAGCCCCGGCCCGTGTGGGGCGCCGCGTGGGGCCTGCAGGCCTGGTGTGGGGACCGTGGGGACCGGGCTGCCGCCCACCCCCGCCCCTGGGGCGCCCTGGTCCCGTCCAGGAGCTGCCATCGGCTGCGTCCCTGCTGTGCGTTCCCCCTTCTCTCAGACTCGGAGGTTCGCAGGACCCAAAGCAAAGTTTCTCTGGCTCAATCAGGGAGCCTTTAAAAAAAGACATCTCTGGTATAGTTTAGAGATTAAGTTATAAATGTTCACTTTGGAACCACCTGAAGATTGATAAAGATGCATTTGAAAAGCATTATTTTTTTTATCGATTCTTAATGTAGTAAATTACTGGCGCTGCTGGGCGGCTCGCGGAAGTGGCCGCGGTGCGGCCCCACCTGCCCCCCGACGGGGCCGCGGGCTGGGAATTGCACTCGACTGCACTCACTTATGTTAAAAGGCTTCTGCGGTAATTAATCCTTTTTATTTCAGATCATTTTGGCACAATTTCTACCTATAAACACCCATAAAACACAGACAGTTGAAAAATCCCTTACAGGTTTTTTCCATACACCTACGGCTGCTCCGCGTGACGGGCGGTTATTGATGTGGCTCGGGAACCAGCCGGTCAGCTGGCCAAGATGAAAAATGCTAAGTGGATTATTTTGCATAAAAAATAGGCAGTTTTTGAAGTTGTATAATTAACCTGTGTTTAGAAAATACCTTGATTTATGCTGACATTTGTATCTCGGTTGCATACATTATGGAAATTTAATTTATAATCCATTTAGCTGATGCAATCATAGTTTTTAGTACTATCATTTATTAGTGCTTGTATATTAAATGCTCTGAAGGTTTAAAGCTGCCTTCTGTAAAAAATTATACCTTTGCATTTACATTTTATGAGTCACAGTGGGATTCTGTTTAAAATTCAGGTGGCTCGGACCTGTTTAACAAATTCCCTGGCTTATTGTTACTAATGCAGACGTGGCGAACAATGGCCTCCGGCGCTGACCGCGCGGTGATTTACGCTCGCGGCTCGGAGGAGGCCGTCCTTCACGACGGGCCGGCGGCCGCCTCCGTGGGTCTCCGCCGCGGCCCCAGCGTTGCTCACCGGCGGCAGGGCCGGAGCCGTGGCCCCAACGTTGCTCACCGGCGGGGGCGCCGGGCCACGGCGCTTCTCGTCCCTCGGTCGGGGGCCTGTTCTGCCGGCTTCTCTAAAGTAACCGGGTCAGCGTCGGTCTTCCCTCAGGAATAAAAGCGAGAGGCTTCCGCGCCCCTGAGGTGTCGGCTGGCGGGCACACGGCGGGGTCCGCCTGCGTCTGGTGCCCTGAGCTCCATCGCCAGGGCAGCCTTTCCGGACCGAAGGCGCTGCACCCTGGGCGTTACCTAGCGGGGAGGGGGCCAGCCTGGCGCAGCCCCTGCGGGCCTGTTGGTGGTGAGGCTGCAACAAGGACCCCGGGGCGCGCGCGCCCTGCCCGGCCGCCCCGCCTGAAGCCGGTGCTCACTGTCACGGTGTCCTGGAAACCGGGCTGCTCTGGAAGACCCGGGGCCTCCCCGTCCACGAGGCCTTGCTGATGAGACAGCAACGCGGGCCACAGGCGGGCCGCGGGCGCTGCGCACAGAGCTGACGCGCTGCAGCCAGGCTCGGGGCAGGCGCAGGCGCCCAGCAGAGCAGATGCGGCCTCAGCGAGCCCCAGAGGCGGGGGGTTGTGGGAGGCGGGTGTGGAGGACCAGGCCGCGTGGTTGCAGCGGCCACCATCTCTGCCGCACCTGTGAGCCCCGCCGGTGGCGACGGCAGCCTGGGGGCAGCCTGGGGGGAGGGGGAGGACATCCTGCGTCCTGATTGGAGGGCCGTTTCACAGCTGCGGTCAGTACGGTAATTCTTCAAGCTGGACTCAAAAGTTGTGTGCCTGTCACTGCATGTAGGTCACACTTTACTATAAATAAATGCAAAAAATAATTACGCGCTGCAGTCTCTTGACGTAAAGGTAGACAGGAGTCTAAGTGAAATCGTCGTTGGTCTGGCATCAGGGAATGCGGGTTTTGGTACCCGTTTTGCCACCTGCTAACCCGCGATGTCTGGACAAGTCCCCTGAGTCCTAAGGCCTGGCCTCTTCATTTTGAACAGGGCAGGCGGACACCGGCCCCGCCAGCCGCCCGCGCATGGCCGGTGCCCTGGGAGCACTGTGCCCGCCACGGCGAGCCCGCCCCTCGAAAGAGCGGGGTCCAGTCTACGGCCATACCACCCTGAACGCGCCCGATCTCGTCTGAAAGAGCGGGGTCCCTCCCGTCGGGAGTTACATTGCTGCCAGCGCCGCCGCCGCCGCTGCCCGTCCTCGTCCTCCAAAGGCACCGTCGGGGGCAGGGTGGGTCCATGACATTTGACTTGTGACACACACACCCCCCTAAAAAAGCTCAAGTCCTCGTACCCTTACTTGTGAGTGGGGCCTTATTTGAAAGTAAGGTCTCTGCTCTGTGGTCACCCTCAGATGAGGTCACGCTCGGCTGCCATCGGCCGCCCAGGCCAGTGACGGTGTCTTTGGAGGAGAGAGAGGCTCCAACACGGGACAGCGGGGTGGGAGGGAGTGGTCGCAGCCGGGGCCACTGTGACCGGTGAGCACACCGGCAGCACCAGAGGCGGGAAGGCAGGGGAAAGGTCCTTCCCCTGGGCCTCGGGGACCGGCCTGGCCCTGGGACGCCTTGACTTCGGACCTCGAGCCCCCGAGGGGCAATAAGTCGAGCTGCGGGGCAGTAAGTTTCTGGTGTTTTAAGCCACGCAGTGCGTGGCGCTTTGTGACGGCAGCACCAGGAAGCTGATCGGGCTGCAGACCCGTCCAGAAAAGGCCCGCCAGCTGCGCTGTGGCGTGGAGGGGCGGGCGTGCTCTTCTGTTTCTAAGATTTTATTTATTTGTTTTTAGAGAGAGAGGAAGGGAGGGAGAAAGCGAGGGAGAGAAACATCGATGTACAAGAGAAGCATTGTTCGTTCTTGACCGGGCCCTGACTGGGAACCAAGCCGCGACCCAGGCCTGTGCGCTGGCTGGGCTGGCAACGCCGCGACCTTCCACTTGGTGGAACGGCCCGGGCCGCAGCGCTCAGGCTGCCAGTGCGGCTCCCACCAGCGCCATGGGTGTCAACACGCCGTGACCGCAGCCCTGAAATTCTCTGAGGGTCTGTGTGCAGCTTCCAACGCGCTGAGCGCTGCGCTGTGGCCTGGCAGGAGGTGAACTCGGCGCTTGCCGGGCGCTCACCCCCACCGTCCCGTCTCTGGCGCAGAGGAGTGCTGGAGTCGGGGTCCGGCCCGTGCCCCTTCGTATGCGCGTCTCCATTGTTAGGGGGTCTGGAGCGCATGCCTGGGAGGGGCTGACCGCTGGCCCTCGCCCCTGTTTCAGGCCCTCTACGAGAACATGCTGGTGGAGCTGCCCTTCGCAGGCTTCTTCCTGTCCAAGCTGCTGGGCACCAGCGCCGACGTGGACATCCACCACCTGGCGTCCCTGGACCCGGAGGTCTCCCGCAACCTGCTCTTCCTCAAGAGCTACGAGGGCGACGTGGAGGAGCTGGGGCTGAACTTCACCGTGGTGAACAACGACCTCGGGGAGGCTCAGGTGCGGCCGGGGCGTGGGGGGCGGGGCGCGGGGGCCGGGGCGGGGCTCCCACGCGAAGGGCTAGTTGCTGGAGGGCCTTCGCCATCCCGGGTGTCACTGTGTCTCGTTCTGTTAGGTTGTCAAGTGACCAGATGCTGGGAAGAGGCGTCTTTTCTATTCTTAGGTCCCTCGGTAATCTTCCAAATTTGGTAGTTGGGTTCTCACTACAGACATGTGGTTGTCTGTCAGTTTTGCTGTTGTTTCTCTGAGTTTTGTCACCCTTGGTTTCTGACCCAGGCTCTCCCAGGCCGGCGGCTTTGCCAGGTGTAAAGTCACCACGTGTCAGATGGGTGAGTCCACTGTGGACTCCCCCTGAAAAGGCGCCCCCTCGCCGCCTCTCCTGACCCTCCCGCAGACAAAGCGCGCCCGCCCCTGTGGTGCGCACGCTGCCGGGTGAGCTGGGGTCAGTGCCGTGTGGGTCTTTCCTGTCCCGTCACCCACGGCCAGCAGGCCGAGGCTTGATCCCCGTTCCTGGGACACTCAGCCGCTCGCTGTCCTGCTGCTGTGCTGGGCTGGGCCGGGAGGGGCGGGGAGCAGCCTGCACGTGCCAGCCGGAGAGGCCGGTGTGCGTGCGGTGAGACGCCCTGCTCGGCGCGGCGCGGCGCACAGGCCCAGGGGTGCCCGGGCGGCCTTCCCTGGGCAGCGGAGCGGGCGCGGAAGAGGCTGCGGTTCCGAGGGCGCAGGAGCGCGGGGGGCTGGGTGCTGGCGCGTCCCGGCCTCGGCTGTCGCCCCTGGGGCCGCCCCTGTGCTCAGGAAGGCCGGTCAGCTCGCTGGTCGGGGCGGCGGCCTCCGTGGGCGTGGTCAGGCCGGGTGGGGAGGGTGCAGCGAGGGGCGGCCGTCCGGGCGCTCTGGGGGCGGGCCCGGCGCTGTGAGGCCGAGCGAGGACGAGAGAGACGGAGCCGGTTTTCATCTGGATGCAGCTTAGCGGCTGTTACTGCGTTTTCTTCCGCACCAGAGAGCTGACTTCTCCACAGTGCGAATGCAGATGTTGGGAGGGCGGCGGGGTGTGGCGTCCCCGGGACTCGGGGGACGCGCGGCGCTGCCGGGCGGTCGGCCCCCTGAGGGCCCGCCGAGGCCTGGGCTCCCGGCACGGTTCCGCTTCCGCTGTGCAGGCCAGCACCGCGTTAGAGCTCCCAACAGCACCGGGACCCGACCCTGAGAGCCGAAATGTGGCCTTAAAATGTCCCCGGGGCCCAGGGACAGTCGGTCCCACTGGGCGAGAGGTCACAGAGGGTGATGCACGGCGATGACACCAAAGGGTCTAATCGGACAAAGTAAGAAAGTCACGGCTAAAGCATCTACTTCAGGGGGGATCTTACAGGTTTCTGTAGAAATAGATAGAAAAACGTAGTCCTCTGTGCAGGTTTTTAAGTTTATAAAATTCCATGATTTAAAGATCTGTAATATGCAAATACTTCATTATGTTGGCAGGTTCTGTTAGTTAATCTTCCCTTTTAAAATAATGGTTTTGCTCTCAAATTTGTTTTCTTCAGTATAATCAATGTGGCTGTCTGTCAGCCTGCTCTCAAGCGCACGTGAAGCCTCAGGCCACCGACCGGCACGCACCCCTCCCCCGGGAAGGGCCCGGCGACCGAGAAGGGCCGTGCACAACACCTGTCACGGAGCCCAGCCTTGGACTGGAGTCAGGGGACCGAGGAGCAGTCCCACCAGCTTCCAGCTTCGCTCTGTGACCTTGGGCCAGTCAGAGGCCCCTCCTCAAGTTCAGAGGCTGCTCCAGGGATGGGTGCGCTGGGCGGGGGCCCGGCTGCTGGGCGGGGCCCGGGCCTGGTCTGTGCCCAGAGATGCAGGGGTGCCCCACAGGCGGACGCCTTGGGACCAAGTTGACGTTACGTTAAACCTCCGTGGTTGGGTAGGTGTACGTAGCCTGAGAGGAGTGTAAAGGACTGAGCGTGACCAAGTTTGTGTTTTGGAAACGTCCCTACTGTCTGGTGGCGGCGGGGGGACCTTCAGCTGAAACGGATGGCCTGGCAGGTCCCCTGCCCTCCGAACCACGGGAGCACCCGCCTTTGTCCCCTGCCCTTAGCCCACGTCAGGGGCCACTGGGCTTCACCTGTTGAACCGGAGCCTGAGCCAGCTGGTGACGCGGGGCCTGTCGGGAGCGGCCCGGCGGGTGGGGGGTACAGCCCCTGCCGAGTGCGGGGACAGCGGCTCGGCTCCGAGGACGGGCCCCGGAGCGGGGGCAGCCGCCCAGCTGGCGCTGGCGGACTCAGGGTGACTTAGGGAAGCCCTCCGGCGGATTTCAGAGCCGCCTCTCTGCAAAGTGAGGAGATGGGGAAGCCATTGCTCAGAGGGCGTGGTGTCGTCTTCGTTTCCAAGAGAAGGGGAGGCGCCCACCGCCCGCAGTCTGAGCGCCCCCGCGGTTTGACCCAGCAGCCTGCCTGCCGCCCGCCCGGGGGCCCAGCACGCCCGCCCTGCCACGTCGCTCGGCTCCCCGCCCCCGCGGCCGCTCACCCCGCGGCGTCCTGCTCAGCCTGGATCGATTGTCTCTCTCCCTCCGTGGCCTGGACTGTGTCATCCAAGTGCATCGGGAAGGCCTTGGGTTTTTTTGTTTGTTTGTTTGTTTTTAAGTAGCAGTAAACAGGGAGCTTAAAAGCGCACTCTCGGAAATGAGGCTTAAGTGCTGACCGTGACTGCGGGGCCCCGCCAGCCGCTTCCTTTTCAGGCGCTCGCGGAACCGTCGCCTCCTCCCCAGGGGCGGAAGAGCGGGGGCGGATGGCTTGCCTGTGGTGGCCACCCTGGCCACGGCCACGCTCTGAGGAGGGCGGGGCCGCAGGTCCGGGGAGTGCACGGCGCAGCGGCGGAGCGCGGTTCTTGTCAAGTCTGCCCTCGTGGGGACGCATGGCTCAGCCACCTCCAGCAGCAGCAGTGCCGTGTGGGAGACGGTGCTGGCGGGAGCCCTCGGTCCACGTGGCCTCGGTTCCAGAGCCGCACACTCCCTGGGGTGTGCCCCACCCTCTGCCCTCCGGGGAGCGCTTCCTTCAGAGCTGGACCCTCCGGGGCTCTGATGTTGTAAATGGAAGCACCGTGGGGACCGCTGCTGCGCCCCGTCCTCCTGTGGCGCGGGCAGGGAGGTCAGCCCCGTGCACGGGCCGAGCCGCTCGGGCCCCGTTCGCAAAGCAGCGCCGTCCAGCTTCCTGGAGGTCTGGCGTTTCTGGCGTCTGGTACCCATAGTCCTGCTTCGAGAATTTTAAGACCCGCGTTTTAATGTTCACAGGTCGTTGAGCTGAAGTTTGGTGGGAAAGACATCCCCGTCACCAGCGCGAACCGCATCGCCTACATCCACCTGGTGGCCGACTACAGGCTGAACAGGCAGATCCGCCCGCACTGCCTGGCCTTCCGCCAGGGCCTGGCCAACGTGGTCGACCTCGAGTGGCTGCGCATGTTCGACCAGCAGGAGATCCAGGTCCGCGCCACTGCGCCTGGGGCTCTCGCGGCCGGCACGGCCCCTCGCGCCGTCCCCGCGTTCACAGTCGATGTGTTTTCAGGTGCTGATCTCGGGGGCGCAGGTTCCCATAAGCCTAGAGGACCTGAAGTCCTTCACAAACTATTCAGGTACGTCGCCACCACGTGCCCTTGGTCCCGAAAGCATCACCGACGACCCCGCTTCTGCGGGGGCTCTGACGCCCGTTCTTGGGCAGGCAGCACACCTCCAACCCTGGGGCGGGGCGGGGCGGGGGTGGGGAGGCCGCAGCGGCCCTGCAGCTGCGCGCGGGCGGCTTCTCTCCTGCATCGGTGTTTCTCCCGCCCCCGTCTTCTGTCTGAAAGCTGAAGAAACGTCTGCCAGGCAGAGCTCAAGGGGTTTTTTTTTTTTCATTTTTTTAATGAGAGAAGCCCAGAAATTAAATGGCTTACTAAAGGATATGAACATTTTTGAGGTGAAATTAGAATAAATATGGCTCAGAGGAAACAGTATGAATCTTTTAATATAGTTGAAGGGTGCATTTTACCCTGTTTAGCCTCTGTTTTCACTGTCGAAAACTATGCAGAATCTTAAATGTGTATTTTAAAAATGATTTGCAAATGTGAGCCATTGAATCCATCTTTATTGTGTGCATGGACATGTTAAATAAAATACTTTAAGTACAGTCTTAATTAAATCAGGTGATTGATCAGTATGTGTCATATGACTTTGTATCTAAATACGAAAGTAAGCCCTGGCTGGGTGGCTCAGTGGACTAAGCGCCGGCCTGCGAACCAAAGGGTCGTCAGTTGGATTCCCAGTCAGGGCCCAGGCCTGGGTTGCAGGCCAGGTCCCCAGTGGCGGGGCATGCGAGAGGCAACCACACATTCATTGATGCTTCTCTTTTCTTCCCTTCCCCTCTGCCTAAAAATAAATAAATAAAATATTTAAAATAAATAAATAGGAAAGTAAACTTGAATAAGAGAAAAGGAAAAATAGTAGTCCTGAGATGGAAGTCATTTTCGCTTCTCTCAAATTTTTTCTCTATTACGTGAATATTGTATACACTGTGCATAATTAACTTTTTAAAACCAAGGACAATTACTTTAAATCCATTTCAGTTTTAGAAAATGGTAGTAATCATTCACAATTAATGAAATAACAGGTGACTTTTTTCCCTCATTGTACTGCTTTTGGAAAGTCTTCCCTGAGGACATGTTTGTGGGGTTTGGGGGCCAAACCTGAGCGTGAGAAGAGCGATCTCCCACGCCCGCACCGGGGGCAGAGCCTGCGGCCTGCCGGCCCCACCGGCCGGGGCAGCTGCGTTCCTTTTCATGTTTAAGCGATAAAAGTGTCTCCTGTGCAAGACTTCCAGCTGTGGCTGAATGAGGAGAGGCTTTCTCTCTTCAAAGATCAGTATTAGCCTGATGTCAAAGGCAGACAAAAGTAACACAGAAAAAGAAATGACAGATCACAATCCCTCATGACCATAGAAGCCAAACTCAGGAGAGTAAACTGTTGAGGTCAGCAGCGCACACCCGTGATCAACGCAGGGAGCGCCTGTCCCGAGACTGCCAGGGCGCACGACCGCCAGGGCCGCGGCTGCGTGCGCAGTGCGGGCGGCGCGGCAGCTGCAAAGGATGGGGCGCCATTGCCGGGTGTCGGGACCTCTCCTGCCCGGGCAGGGCGGTGCTGCTCTGAACCGGACACGGTCGTCCAGAACATTCACAGCTGACGTCACAGGGAGCGGCGGAGGCCGTGTGCTCTCTGCTCGGTCACCGCAGCCGACGTGGCGTGGGGCTTCGAGCCAGCGCGGTGCGGTGACACGGGCAGGGAGGCGGGGCCGGCAGCCTCCCCCTCGGACAAGAAAACACGGAAGAAGTACAACTTCTCATGACCACGTGACCAAAAGAAAAAAACCACTGGAGCTCATAAAGAATTTCAGCAAATTGCAACATAGATCAGTCTACAGAAACCAGTTCTGTTTCCACATGTAACTGAAGAATGGATTACTAAAGCAGTTTTATTCAAAGCAGCATCAGAAAGAGTAAAGCACAGCTTTAGCAAAGTAAGCGCAAGACTTGTAAGCGGTTTAGAGAAAACCTACGTGAGTGGAGGGTGGTCCGTTTTCGTGGATCGGAGGACTCAGTGGTGCTCATGTCATTCTCTCCAGATGAATCCATGAGTTCAGTGTAACTCCTATCAAAATATCAGCAGGCTGAACGGAAATCAGCAGATTGGTTTGAAATTTTATGTGGACATGTAAAGGACCTAAAATAGCCAAAATAATTCCGTAGCATGGAGTTGGGCTCTGAGCGCGTGCGGTAGAGCCACGGCGGCAGGGCACAGGGCGCCGCCGGGCCTTCAGAAACGCGCCCGTCTGTTGCACTGGCTGGGTTTTCTGCTGGTCGCCGCTGCTGGGACGAGGCCCACAGAGAGAGGTGTGAGCGGGCCTCCCTGCTCACCCCATGCGGGGTCGCGGGGTCGCGGGCCCAGGGGCAAAGCTGCTGGCCCGGCGTGGGAAGGAAGACCTTCGTGCTTTGCGTCAGGCAGTTGCGCACCAGAGCGTGATCCAGAAAAAAGATGTAGATGGAAAAGTGGACTTCCTCAACGTAACAGCCTTGTGCTTCAAAAGATGCCATTGAGGAAGTGAAAAGACAGGCCACAGACGGGGAAAATGCTTTAAAGGAACGCGCGCGCGCGTGCGCTCGGGGTTGGGGGGGGTGACAGGTTGGCAAGGACGGGCCAGAACGAACCCTCGGTCCTCGCTGCCGGGGACATCCAGCAGCCGCTCTGGAGGACGGTCTGGTGGTTCCCCGGGGCTCAGCAGGGGCCCGCCGGGCGTCCCACGCAAAGGCCCTCGGGGGCTGCACTGCTCGCGGGGCGGGGGTGGGGGGCAGGGGCAGACGCCCTGCCCTTGCAGACGGGGACTCTTATGTGAAGGAGCGAAGCTCAGACATGTCACGACTTAGCAACCCTGGCAGCCCCTGCGGAGTGACGTGAGCCCGGCACGCACAGAGGCGGGCGCAGAGGGACACATGCCGTAGAGCTCGGCCCCGAGAGGCCCGCAGGGCCCCTCCTCCTGGACGCGGGCCGAGCAGCGCTGCGGGGACTTCGGGACTGGGTGGGGTGCGGCCTCCGGCCCGTGAACAGCCTCCGTGCAGGCGGGCGTCAGCCTGGACGCCCTGGCGCACACGGCAGGTCCTGGCGGCCGGGGGGCAGGGGGCGAGGCGTTTCCTGAGAAAGTGGAAATGTCTTGGAGCTGCACTGTGCGGTGGCTGAGAAGCCTGTATGTCTGCTACAGTCACTTACATACACGGGCACACGTGTGAGTGCGTGTGTATCTGCCCTTTCTGTAATTAATTCACTCTGATCTGAACTTGAACTCTAATGTTTATGCAAAAGCGAATAATCTAAGGTCACATTGACCCCACTGTCAAGTCATAAGTGTAGAAAACTGAAATCAATCCAGTCTTTCCTTTGCCAAGGAATTGTCTCGGGTTGTTTGCATTTCCCCGTCTGCATAGAGGCTTACACCTTTAATGATCTTAGCTATTCCAGTAAATAGTTTTAAAATATTATCATATTCATTTTGGTGCCAATTAATGCACTTAAGATATTTTATTGATGTTATTTCTGTAGTATATTAACAATGAGGGAACAATATAAGGCAATTATTTCAGTTTTAGGAAGCACTTAAGCAGATTAAAAGCTGTAAGTAGCCGATACCGCACTTGAGAACAGGGACCTAATCATCAGCCACGGCCGGGGCCTGGCTGCCGGTCCGGTGAGGGAGCATGTCGACGCTGGGGCGGGTGGGCAGGACAGGTGGCCCTGCCTGGGGTAGAGGCCCCCTGTCTGCCTGTGTGACCTCGAGGGACTCCTGCTGCTCGGGGTCTGCGCCTCGGGGCCGCCCCGAGCTCCCCGCGCCCCCGACACAGCCCCTGTGCTGTGGGGCGTCCTGTGACTGCAGGGCGTTCCTCCCAAAGGCTCTGTCCCCTCGGAGCCTGCACGCCGCCCCAGGAACAGTGAGCGGCGTGGGGGGGTGGCCGTCCGCCACGGGCCCTGGCCCCCTGCGGGGCGGAAGGTGCCGTGCCCTCCCGTGTGGGCGCTCGGGCCTGGGGGGCCCCTTATGCACATGGCTTGCTTACAGGGGAACGTGCTCGTTTTGTCAGGAGGCTACTCTGCCGACCACCCTGTGATCCGAGTCTTCTGGCGCGTGGTGGAGGGGTTCACGGACGAGGAGAAGCGCAAGCTGCTCAAGTTCGTCACCAGCTGCTCCCGGCCCCCGCTCCTGGGATTCAAGGTACCGCCTCTGCGCCTGTGCTTCGCCTCGCGCCCCCTGTGGGAGGGCAGCGGAGGCCACGCGGGGCCCCGTGGCGTCGCGGCGGCGGCAGCTGCTCCGCTGTGCGGGTCTGCACCCCGGGCCTGGTGCGTCCGCTGTCCTCCCGCACCCACGGCGGCCGCCTGGGGCCGAGATGCCCGTGAGGGCGGGACGCCGCGTCCACGGTGCCGGCGCTGACGCCAGCACCGTCCCCCGAGCCTGCCGTGCGTCTCAGGCTGTGCCGCCCGAGAGGAGACACGCGCTAAAAGCGGGGGCGGGGTGTGCGGGGCGAGTGGCACCTGAGCAGAAGCACTTTTTTCCCTGGTGGTTACCTGGGCCCGTTGAGCCGTTTCAAATCCATAGAAAAGCTGCGGGAATTGGGCGGGGACGCCACCTCCCAGGTGGCGGTTGTCCTCGCTGGCCGCCCTGGCTCCGCGCGCTCTGGGCTGCTCTTCTGCCCCCGGCCCCCCCATCCCCCGCACCAGGGCAAGGTGAGGTGTCAGCTTTTCTGCTGTTCCTTGAAACTCACACGCCTCCCTTAACCGCAGCCGAGCTGCCCAAGGTGGGCTGGCTCCCGCCCCGCAGACCCCGTGGCCCCCGCGGCCCCAGAACTGCCAGGAGCCGCACTCTGCGGGGGTGGCAGTCAGGGGCCCGATGCAGCCTGACGTCCTGGCCCCGGCTGCGCGCTGCCTCGCCGGCCTCTCCACAGGCGCAGGCCGGCTGGCCCGACTGGCCCTCAGCGTGCGGGGCGAGTCCGTCCCGGGAAGGTGCCCGAGAGATGGCAGCGTGGTTCCCCTGGGGGCGCTCACAAGACCACGCACCGGGGACCGGCCCCACGTCTGTCCCCAGGTGCTAGGGGCCCCTGTGTGGCCCAGCACCCAGGGGGTCCACCTGGCATTTCCATAGAGACAAGCAGGGCAGGGCAGGGCCTGCCTAGGGCAGAGCGCAAGCCGGATGTGGGGGCAGTGGTGCTCCCCCAGACCCGGCCTGCGGGGGGCGGTGCAGCTCAGCGCTGGTGTGTGCGCGGGGGCAGACCCACCCGCAGGGGTCGGCTGCCTGCAGGCCGCCAGGAAGGCCCCGGAAGCGCCCGGAGCTGCGCGGGACTCTGTAGGAAGCCCGAGGCGCTGGCCTGGGGCCGGGTCTTTTCAGCGACCTGCAGGGTTTTAGACCAGGCCCAGGCGGGGCGCCCACAGGGACCAGCCAGTGACCACGTCGTAAGTGCAGCAAATGATCTCCTCCACTAACGTCAATAAATAAAAACCAAAATAAATAAAATCTACTAAATGTGAAATGTAAGAGTTTTCAAAGATTTCTGCAGCTCTTATCAGTTAGGCCTCAAATGTGGAGAAACCATCTGCCCTGCACGCATTCCCGTGAGCTGGGCGCGGGCGAAGGGCGGACAGAGCTGCGGCCACGGGGAGCCCGTCTCCCCGCGGCTGTAGCCCGTGACCGAGGCGCCGCCGACCTCAGCTGCGAGCCTCCTCCCTGCCGGCCTATTGGAAAAGAGCGACACCCACTAAAGCTAAGTAAAGTTCAGTGTGTTTAATGAACGTGGTGGTCACAGACAGAAGAACCGTCAAAGCGCCGTGGGGGGTGGCGAAGTTGCCGTCCGGCGCACAGGGCCGTGCGGGCTCTCCTCGCTGAGTGCGTGCGGATTCCCATCGCGCTCCTAGTTATGCAGAAGCCGCGCTGGCCCTCCCGTGTCGGGGAGGGACTGCATTTTCTGCACTTGAAGGCTCCAAGTAGGGAGTTCCATTAGCATTATGAAGGAAACACTAAAATGTGGCACTTAATGCGAACTATCTCTCATGCTGTCATTCCTCGAGTCACATGACCGGTGACCCTGCGCTCGCCAGCCCCCCTTCACCGGCCGTTTCCATCGAGGCGGGCGCTTTTATTTCACTTGATTTGAGCAGCTGAGAAGAGCGTCCCGCCCAGAGCGCCGAGTCACCGCAGCCGAGGCGACAGACGCTCTTCCTGCTTCTCTCTTGGTTCCTGCGCTGACGTTTTTATGAGACATTTAAAGTCTCCTGGAAACTAGAGTTAGAAAGAAGGTGCTGGTTCTTCCGCCCCAGCCACAGGCAGCACGTATGGTCCCCGCGCAGCTGCGTTTGACAGGCGAGGAGCCTGGGGCCTCTGCTCAGCGGCGCCAAGCGCGCGCCCGCGGGTCCCTGCCGGAGCGGCTGCATGGCCCCGGCTCGCCCTCTGGGTCCTGCCGCCACGGTCAGCAGGCCCTTGTGTGCCGCTCTCTTCCAGGAGCTGTACCCCGCCTTCTGCATCCACAACGGTGGCTCTGACCTCGAGCGGCTGCCCACGGCCAGCACCTGCATGAACCTGCTGAAGCTCCCCGAGTTCCAGGACGAGGCCCTGCTGCGAAGCAAGCTGCTCTACGCCATCGAGTGCGCCGCCGGCTTCGAGCTGAGCTGAGCCGAGCCGCCCGCTGGTCGACCCTCCGCCCAGAAGCTGCGCCGCCGCCCCCGCCGTCGTGAGTAGCTGCTCCCGGGCCGGCCGCCGCGGACGCTCAGGCTGCACCCCACGGCTCTCCTGCGCCCCTTGTCTGTCACCCCCTTCACTTTTTAAATGATTTAGGTTGTGGTCCCTTGTTTAGATGGACATTGCTTTTCAGATAACTTAAAGTAACAGATGTTACGTGCCATGCGGCTAATTTAGTGATTTTGCCAAGAAGAGCACAGTTTTAGGACTAGTGGCAACTCAGTGAAAATAACCAAAGATGCAGCTTTGGCTTTGCTGATGGGTCCCAGGCCTGCGTGGGCGGGGGTTCTGGGCGGGGCTCCCGGCCCGCACGGGTCCGTGGGCTCTGGGCTGCGGGGCGCAGGGTCTGGGAGGCGGGGAGCTGACTCAGGGGCCACAGCGTGTCCTGCGTGGCGGAGCTGTTTACAAGCCTGACGGTTCAAACTAAAGGCGTTTTTCCTGCTGCCTTTTCCCAAAGCGGCGAGGTTTGGAGAAGAGATACGTGATGGTATTTTATTTGTGCTTTTTAAGCCGTTTCTCCCGAGCGGGACTAGCACGCTGCTTCCAGGGGTCCCACCGACCCGCATCGTGGCGGCTCGGACATGGCCGTGCAGGGCGTGTGCACGGCGGGCGCTGCCTTCCTCCCCTCCTGTCCCCCTCGGTGCCGGGAGAGCTTTCGGGCGGGGTCCGCCCGGGGCCCACGGCGCGCATGCGACCTGCGGCGACTCGCACGAAGAGGCGCGGAGACGGGTCCAGTCACTTGAACCAAAGGGGCGGCTGCGCCTTCGCCCGCTCGCCCGGCCGCCGTCCTCGCCCTGGAGGTCGGGGACTGGCCCCGCTCCCGCACCCTCCACCCCCCAACGGTGCTGCTTTGAAGGAAGACGGGACAGCCCCCAAACGCGCTTCGGGGGAGGCGTGCTGGGATTCCCGCGCGATAGGCACTTTATCGGGACCGACTTGTTGCTGGGAGGCCCGAGGCTCCGGGCTCGGGGCGGGGCCCTGGCGGGCGCCGCGTCCCTGTCCGCGCGGCTCCGGGCTGCCCCTGAATTGACCAGATGAGCAATATACATTTAAATGTGGGGAACTGAACGACACTTTTAAGACAATGACCATTATCAAAACAAATGTATAATTTCTTAATTTGAATAAATTAAGTGTTAAATGCTATTTGTAGTCTTGATACACAGAAATAAAATAATTAGGGTTTGTCCTTGGTTTTATTTTTATTTGAGGTTTTATGTTGAATGTTCTGTATCTTCTTCACTACGAGTTAATTTGTATATTTTATTATCAGTGTTTTGGAAATACCTGGGACTGAACAGAAACGGGCAGTTACATTTAATTTGGGTAGGTTTCCCCCCTTGGCTATTCTGAGCGTATTCATCTGTATGTTTTAATGGGTAAGTATTTGCATTCAACGGTTGTTGCCCGAGGCTGTGCTGGGGTCGCCCCCAAGTCACCATGGTTCGCTCCCCTGACCGGGAAAACCGCGGCTTCGGAACCGGGACCAGGTTTATCACCCCTGCGTCGGCCAAAGCCAGGGGTGTGCCGTTGGGCGCACAGAGCGCAGCGCCCCCGGCGGCCCGTGCCCCGGCCGCGTGCGGGAGGTGTCGGCCCGGGAGGGGGGCCAAGGCCCAGGCCTGCCCCGGGGTCGGCATCGTGTTGTTGAGGGAGAGTGCGCCTCAGCGGGGAGTCTCCTTTCCGTGCCATTTTGTTTGCATTTTCCCGTATTCTGGTCTCCTTTCTGCTCATCGCTGGCAATACTGAGCTCAGGCCTACATGTCAGCTTGAAGGGAGGCCACCCCAGGTACTCCCCACGAACTCCTGCCTGTGTGCAGGTCTTTGCTGGGTGTCCTGGGAGGGGCTCTGCCCCACCAAGCGCGGGCACCACCGCAGGGCGCGGCGCCGGGGCGCCCGCTGCAGGGAGCTCCGGGGGGTGGGGGGCTCGGGTGACTTAGCGTTTAGGAGAGACCGCTGACGCCGGCACGGGCGAGGCAGGGATTCGGGGCCCAGGGCGGGCACCTCGGAGAAGCTCACCGACGGGCTGGTCTCTTACAGCCAAGCTCCCCACTCCCCGCCAGAAAAAGGAAAAAATTGACAACAGTCAGCTGCTTCACACCCATCTGCTCCAGGTCGGAGGCTGTCAGCACAGCGAGGGAGCCTGTGTTTGAAAGAGCAGCCGCACGGCGGGTCCGCGCCGTCCATTCCAGGGTGAAGCGGCGCCCCGCCCCGAGCAGCGTGTCGGGCTCTGGGCCTCCGGAGGCTGCGCCCGCCCTGCAGCGGGACCGGTGGGGAGGCCCGGAGACGGCCGTGGGGACCCACGGGCGCCGGGCAGGGCTCTGCGTCTCTGCCTCCAGAAGGCTCTGCGGGCGAGCTGTGAAGCCCAGGCACTGTGTGGCTTCGCTCCATGTCTGTGGAGTGGGGACCGCATGCTGCTTTGTCTCACTGGCTGTTAGCAAGGCGTGGCGAGGAGCATGACGCCCGCGTTCCGGACAGACCTCTGCGCCGGCCTTGTGAGGTTTGCTTGCACAGGCTGCGAGTGCCCCCTCTGCAGCGACACGCACCCTCCACTGGCCGCGGGGTGACTGGGGCCGTGTGGCCCACGTGCGGCCCTTCCCTCCCCTGGGCTGTGTGGGGACCGGCCCCTTCCGCGCTCCCCTCTGCACGGCCCACCTGTGACGTCGGCGGGCACAGCTCCTGGCGCCTCCACCTCACCGAGAGCAGAGGCCGCGTGGCCCGCCCCGCCGCGCCTCCCGGTCTCGCCACCCCCCGTGGCCTCGGGGCCTGAGCCTCACAGTGCCGCCGCAGCAGGCCTTCCACGCTGGGTGCCACCCTCCTCACCACCGCTGCCCCGGCCCTGCCCTTCCTCGCCCACATCTCCCCGGTGGCCCTGGCGTCTGACGGATCTCCTATCTCGACCACAAATCTCACTCGGATAGTTGTCTCCGCCCCCAGCCCCACCAGAACGAGAGTGGGGTTCAGGTGGGACTCTGTCCAGCAGACGGCTGTGCGCCCAGCACCCAGAACACCGCCCAGCCTGCAGGAGGGGCCCCTGCCGCTCAGTCCCAGGATGGGTCAGAGGGCAGGCTCTCTGACTGAGAAGGACGAGCTCGCGGGTTCTGCGCCGTCGGCAGGTGAGCTGCCCTGCTCACGGCGGTGCCCGCCCGCCTGCCCACCCGCCCACATGACCCGCAGTGTCTGGGAACTCAGCAGCGAGAGAAATGCACAAAGTGCTCCGGACACTTCCCAGGAGTCGAGCTGACGGGCAGCAGCAGGCCCGCGGGGAGGTGCTCCGGGGGCAAGTGGCCCAGGGCGCAGCTGTCCCCGTGCCGGTGTTCAGGGCGGGGGGGGGCGTCAGGCAAGGGGACGGTGGAGGGGAAGACACGTGCCGCGTAAACATGGTGAGAAACGTGTGCCCTACGTTTTTTATTTTACATTTATAGTCTACGTTCCCGTGAGTCAGGCAAACAACAAGTATCCTGCTCTTCTGAAAGGTCACAGCGGGGAGGCCTCGGCTGTCTGGGTCGGTGGCTTCGGTGGCTCCTGCAGTCCCACCGACCGATGGGCTGTGTGCCCACGTTTGAGCACCTCCCCCCGCTTCCCCCAACATCATCACCACACTCAGAACTTGCTCCCCCCGACCCGGTGACCTGGGGTCCCCAGCCCTCCCTGGGGTTCACGGGCTCCCCAGGAGGACCCAGAAGAGGTATGCTCAGGGCAGTGGCCGCTGCAGTGGGAGGGGGCTGGTCAGCGAGGGGCATGGAGCCCGGAGCGAACCTGGCCTGCCCGCCTGCCAGGCCTGCGGCCCCTCAGACAGCAGCTTTGCGGGGCCCGTGCGCTGGCCACAAGACCCAGACGGGCCCCCTGCCGGCGCTGCCAGGTTTTCCTGTCCCCAAGGCTTTAGACGGTGGCTCCTGGAGGGAGGCTCCTGGCCTGCGGGGCGTGTGGGGCCGGTGGGCAGCGAGGGGCGGGCAGGTGCGCCTGGGCCCCAGCGAGGGCAGGAGCCCTGCCCCGCGGGGAAACGGGGAGCGAGTCTGCGCGAGGTGGAAGTCCCCACCTGCCACTGGGGCGGGGGCTGTGGGGAGCCAGCAGGGCCCGCGCGCGTCTGCGTCTAAACAGGACCCAGATCCAGGAGACCTGCCGCCGGGAAGCAACTCCCACGGCGCCTTCGTTGCTGGCCGACCCTGGGCCGGCCTGACCCCGCGGCGGTCTCTTAACGCTGCCGTGACGACGGGCACCTGCGGGAAGGGACAGGGCGGCCCCCGGTGTCCCGGGGCCACAGGGTCGGGTCACATCTCCCCACATACCGCCAGATCGCACCCTTGGCACGTGGGCCCGCAGGGTCCGGCCGGGAGACGGGTGAGCGGGGGTGTCCCGGGACGCGTGGGGAGCGGATCTGCGCCCCGAGTGTGGCTGGGAGCCCGGGAGTTACCCGGGTGGCGGGGACTCGGCAACGAAGCTGGGGGGCAGTAAGCTGGGCTCCGCCCCGAGGGGTGCTGTCACCCCGGCTCATCTGCCGAGCGCCGGGGGGACCAGCGGGCCGAGGCTGGGCCGCCCCGGACCCGGAACGCGCGGTGCCCAGCCGGCGGCGCCTCCGGAACTCAGTCCCCGCGACCCGCCGGCCTGGTCCTCGGTGTGGCCAGCAGAGGGCGCTGGGGCTGCGCAGGACTCACATGTACGCGCCTGCACGCGCCCAGGTGCGGGCACAAGCACGCAGTACACGTGCACACGGCGCACACCGCTGCTGCCTGTGCGGACGGGCGCGGCGCACGGGGCCTGCCGCGGGGTCTGCGCTAACGCCGCACAGTGTCACGAAGAGTCGCCGCACCCGAGAGGAGGAGTTGCGGGGGGCGGGGACAGCAGAGGCGCTCTGCGCAGGCGCGGGATCTGCGGACCCGGCAGGGCGGCGGGCGCAGGTGGGGGCGGGGCCCGGGCCCCGCTCTTCGTCCCCGCAAGCCTGGGGGCGCGGAGGGACCTGAGTCCCGGGGCGAGCGCGCCGGGGGCCCCGCGTGGGGAGATGCAGGACGGGGCCCCAGGGCGCGAGGGTCGGCGCGAGCTGTCCAGAAACGGGCCCCGAGGGCGGGGGCGGCCCGGCCTCTAGAAGAGAGGTCGCGTCTGCAGGACCCCGAAGGATCCTGCCCTCAATCTCGGGCTGCGAATCCGGGCGGGCCCACAAGGGGGGCCGGCAGGGCCGCGCGTGTCGAGCACTAGGGACCGGGATGCAGAGGTCCTCGGGCCGCCGGTCCCCTGTGGCCTTTCTGTCCCCACCGGGAGCCCGCGCGCGTTTCCAGGGCGTTTTGCAACCAACTACGGACCGACTGGGTGCCCAAAACGACGAAATGCAGCCTCTGCCACCTCGGGACCAGGATTCTTCGTCCTCAGGGCCCGGCTCCCCCCAGTCCTCCGCCCCTCCCAGTCGAGGCGGCCCCCTTCCCACCCGGAGCCCCCGTCCCGAGGCCCGAGGCCCCAGCAGGACCTCCACTTGCCGGGTGCTGGGCGGAGGCTCGGGGCGACACCTTCCGGCCGCCCGTCAGCTCGCCGCAGCCCTGAAGTTTATCAGGACCCTCTCTTGGTGGCTTTGATTTTGAAATCATTTTTTCCAGCCCCGTGGGCCTCAGTTTCCCTGGTTATAAAACGTGTCTTTGCACCAACCCGTGGGTCAAAGGTGCTTCCGAACCCATCACTCTGTCAGGGGAGGTGCTCGCGCCTGGGCGCAGAGCCACCGGCCGTCCTCTGCAGGAGGCCACACGCCGCGGAGGGCGACGCCGCCTCCAGGTAGCCTGGGTGCCAGGGGAGCAGCGAGTGAGCGCCTAGTGTGCGCCTGCCCCACCCAGCGCACGGCGGTTCGTTGCTCGCCTGGAATTCCCCTTTGACCAGGTGTCCTCATTTGAAGAGGACGCCCGACTTCCAGCTGGAGCCGCAAGAGGGCGAACAAGCACAGGCGCCGCTGGGACCTCGCGGGCCGTTTTGCCCCGTGGGACACGGCTCTGGGTCCTTCAGGTGCCCCTCCCCCCCAGCCGGGGCTGCTCCCGTGTGCGTGCACCTGAGCCGCACGTTGCTCTAGTCCTGCATCCACTCGGGACGACTTTAGGAGGTATCCAGCCGGCCCCGCTCCAGGTGCCAAGCTTCTAGGAGGAGGGGCCGGGGTTCGAGCACACGGAGGGAAGAGAAAGGGCAGCCCAGAGTCCTCTCCAGGGTCT